GGGGGGAATCCTATGTTTTTTAGCCTAAAGGATCACCCCGTGCAACATAAATAATACTTCGCAACTTTTCTTAAGGTAGAGGTTGCTCATATTATTCAGGGCGCAAACTATCATCTCCTGCTACCCAATTACTATGTTGAAGTTGTTACTTAAAGGCGCTCTAATTTAATTCTAAATTGTACCCTATGCGTGCACTACCCGTCCCATGCCTATGGTCCAGGAGGCTTTGGACCTCTATTTGGGTGGTTCAAGACTTTTCCTAGGTTGTTCAAAATGATAAAACTAGGCGACAGTCAAAACAAATAAGACTTCACATAAAGACAATTAAAGGCCCAAGTTAGCCTCCACACATAAAAAATAAATGCACGCGGGCAGTTCAGGCAATATATAGTTTCAGGATCAAAATTTAAAGTCCTATAGGCATGGTTTCTAGGTGATTCTGTATTCCAGTATTGTATATGCATCGTTGCTGTTCTAAATGTCTTAGACGAGGAGGCAATAAACTATTCGCAGACTCAGGATCATTAGTATTAATTCTATAAATAGGCGTCTTAGGCTAGTGACACTGTCCTATAAGCATGATTTCTAAGTTGTTGCGCAATATGCATTGAAAGTTATTAGAGATTGGGAATTACCAGCGTTTGATTCTATAAACATGCTTTCTAGGCGGACAATAGTGTTCTATATGCAAGATTTCCTAACGGTTGATATTTGAACTTGTTGTTATCATACTTATTCCTATAGGGATGCTATCTAGGTGGAGGTGTAATAAAACGGCAGAAGCAGTTGATTAAGAGATTAGTGTCCTATAGTCATGATATCTAGATGGACAGCACACCAAAATAATAAAGCAATTTGATCAATTTATTATTTGAAGTCCTATGGACATGATATCTAGGTTAACAAAAGCATATATTATACATCCTATAGGCATGTTGTCTAAACGCACAGTAATGATATGGAGATCAAGTATGGCGATTACTAGCATGTTTGAAATAGTGTACGAGTATTAGACAAATTAGGTGAGGTGTGTGCAACTCCTATAGACATGATTTCTATTAGCGTGCAGAAGTAGAGCAAGTTGAACAAGATAGGAAATAAAGCAAGTATGCCCTATAGACATGTTCTCTACCCTTTATGCAAGAATAAAACACACCCATTCCCCAATTTCACTAATGCCCCAATTGTTCGTTATTACAAATTACAGGCCCAAGCGGAATAATACAAACTCAAAGATGACAAAATATAGGCTGAAACAAATACAAGCCCCACCAAACAGTATAGGCCCACTATAAAATAACCCAGTAAATTTCTGGGCCTTCAGCAACCTCACCAACCAACAGACCCAAATCCCAGGCTCACAAGAACAGTATAATCTTCCTGAATCCAATGCCTAGATCCAACAACACATATGGCCCAACACCAGGCCTAACAAATAACTTACTTAGCCAAACGGATGCCAAACTTAAACACACATGTGACAAACCACTCAGGAAATTGATTAAACAACCTTTCACACTTAACTCCTAAAGTTGTGATAGACAACAGTTCTAGCCAAAGCACATGAACAAGATCACATGAAACACGACAAGATCACAAGGCAGGTTCATGCTTGCATTCTCAGAAACAAAGCTAAAATAATAGGACTGACCATCATGGGGTAGTGAACTACTCCAAAGAGTTTTAAAGAGTAAAATGATTCAGAATTAGCCTAAAGAAACTTTAGACACAAGATTTAAACATAAAAATCCAATAGGGTCATAGGCAAGAACAGGTAGAGCATAGCCTTCACATGTAAGTTTTAACAGGGAGGTCTAGTGAAAAATAACATAACAGAACAAGTTCCTGCTCG